ATTATTGGAATATAAATAAGTAGAAATTTGAAAATACTATTATCACTACAAAGTTTTAAAAATAATATAACTTAGGATATGAAACAATATAAATTATGGATAATAAGATATTTATTTTCTTAATAAAAAAAAGAAGAATTAATTACACTTTCCAACGTGAAAATAATCAAACAAATGAAATTTAAATCGGAAAAATTGTTGATGATAATAAGACAAATAAAATATAATTAGAAAAATGTTGGAAAAATTAAAATGGTGCCGAGAATACGGGTATCAAAGATTAGAAAAATTGTTGACGAATCTGATTTGGCAAACTAAAGGTTCTATGGAACGGAATTTTTTAGTGTTATGAACTTCGAATTGATTGAAATAAAGAAAAAGTTCTTGAACTGAGTCATGAAAATCAAAGAATTTAAGTTCACTAAACCCTAATAAATATTAATAAGTTATAATTTCACAAAAATATGTAATATGTTAAACTAATTATAAATTTATTAGATATGCAATACAGTATGAATTTAACCGAATAAATTGATCCTATGTTTAAATTTTGTTTTCAATTATGAAAATAACTAGAAAAAAATCGAATGCAAACGAATGAAATAAATTATAAGTATAAATTCATAGGTAATATAAACCAACATAATAAAATTGATTCACATATCAATCATATATATTTACCTTCAGCTACGGCATAGTTCGATAGTCGATACTAATTGTATATTAATGGTGTACACTTGTAAAAGAATTAAAATCCATTTTTAAAATAAAAATGAAGAGGACGGTTAAAACATGAAAAATGAAGAAAGTCATCTCTTTATAAGTTTTTTTCTATATTAATTAGCATCCCAAGGTGTAGAAGGATAACATTCTAATTTAAAAGACTATTGAAATTTCTTCACAATTCAAGATATCTGACTTAATTAAGTTAATAAACATTCACTCTTAATTTTTTTATATGTACTCCTTTTTATAGTCTTATAATAAGTAAATTAGGATTTAATATCTAACTGAAAAATAAAGTTATAGCTTGCATTATACGATAGATTATATTATTCATTGTGATTATTTCAAGAAGAAAATGTTTAATAAATAATAGAAAATTGATTGTAAGTATATACATTTTAATGAATCTGATAATACTCTTCTAAGTCTTTTAAAACTGTAATACTTATATTATATAAAATAATATAATATTTACAAATAAATATCAACTGGCATTTATTAATAATAATTTATAGAAAAAACATTGTTAATATATAAAAATAAATTTTTTTATTTATTCAATGTCTTTACTAATTTCCATGTAATGAAGATAATAATGGAAACTTTTACATATTGGTTTTTAATAAGTTTATTAAATGTAAATGTCGGAATTTGAAAATAAAAAGAAAAGATTAGATTTTATATCTTTAATTTTAAATATTTTCCACACAAATATAGGTAATATTAGCATAATGTAGTTATGAAAAGACAATTATTTATAAATTCTAAAGGTAGTTGAATATAACTTTTATATATGGTACTGCAAAAACTACCGCAATAGACAGAAAAATAATAAAAACAAGCACGTGTAGAAGTATTAGAATAAAACTAACTGTGCAAGTCAACAAGCATAATATTGTTCTTTCGTTTTGTGAGTTCTTCAGAGAAACGATTTATCAAGAGCGCGCGGAGTCGGCGGGATAATATTAAATTTTTCAGATTATAACGTGGACCTAAGAACATGCTTTTTTTGAAAATACGTTGCTGGTAACATCATTATGCCCATTACATATGCTTATAAAATTAAAAAATAGAAAATTCAAAAAGGAGTTTAAAGAAGATATCATTAAAGAATGAAAAAGTAAACAGCTCGGGAAAAGGGGCTTTAATAAGCGGAACTTTGTTAATTTTCTATTGCTAAAGAGTTTCTAAATGGTTTCCTTAAATGTATATATCATTTATATTTAATAATCATTCTTTATCTTAAGCAACTAATCAAAATGGATTTTTTTTAATATCAAAATTAAATATTAAAGTAAAATTAAAAAATTAGCTATAAACGTATTTTTTGTTGCATTGAAATTTTGTGCTGTTGAAACTATATAACTTTCCATCTTGAAAAATAAAGTGAAAAAATTATAATAGCAATGTTATTTCTTATTTATACATGCATAGATTATAATGTTTTTAATATTTTAATGTAGATATTATTTTACTTATATATTACTTATTACATAATTGCCGTATCAAATCATAGATAGTGTAATACATAATATAATGTAAAAAAAAACATAAAATAAAACACACTAATTAAAATTGAGATCCTTAAATATTTTAAGAAAAAATTCATGTGCATTAAGTATAGTATTAAATAATTTGAAACTTGTTTAATTAATTGTTGCAATTACAATACATTACAATATAAATTACTTAATTAAAAATTATTATTTATATATTTCCCTATTGTTTAATAATATTTTATAAATTAGATAATTCTGAACTATTGCATATAAAATATAAGTGTATTGGTAATGTATATTTATCATTCATCAATGAATTTTCAAATAGTTATGATTAATTATAAACTTTTAATATTCAGATTTTCATATATAATTATATAAAACAATGAATAATTAAATTAAATAAAGGGCTAAATATATGGACATTCTAGTAATATTTTATAAATCCGAATACTGACTTTAGACCAGACCTCGATAGTAATTAATTGATGGCCAATTCCACATCATTTACGGATTACTATCAATTTTTAAAACTCACTTTGATACAAACTTTCATAATGAAGAAGCTGTTTCGAAAAATAATCGTAAAATTAGAACGTTAAGCTGATTATTGTCATGATTTACGATCTAATTCTTTAAAGTATACATATATGTGTGTGTGTGTGTGTGTGTGTGTGTGTGTGTGTGTGTGTGTGTGTGTGTTTAAATATTGTCATTTTTAGATACCTATTTTGAAATAAGGAAAAATAAAAATTACTGTATACATTGTATGAGTTTTATTAATAAATGTTATACTCTATTTTTAAAATTTATTATTTTGATTTTTTATTTTCTAGCATTTTGTTATATTTTATTATAATAATAAATTTTTAATTACTTCTGTATTAAATTTAGTTTAAATTTATAAATATTGCAAATTTAATATATAACTCCATTTACTTAAAATATTTTTAGTGTAAATATCTGAATAATTATTTCATATAAAATATATTTTCTATGATCAGTATAAAGTTAATATAAAAATACCTAAATTTATGGATAACATTAAAAATAATCTTGAAGAAATAAAAAAAATATATCTGGAATGAAATTACAGATGATTAAATATATATACTATAAAAATTCTATTGTTTATTTTGTAAAGTATTAAACAAGAAATTTTTATAGAATTAATCAATTATGACTAAGTATCATGTTAGCTTGTATGAAAACACTAATTTCGCTACTATAAGTTTCGAGAGACATTCAGCTTTATTCCTTTGTAAAAGTTCTTGTATCTTTCTAAATATATAATTAGAAATATTTGGAATATTGAATAAATATATTTGCATTCTATTAAATTAATTTTAAATTTGAACCTGCAACGAATTTAAAAATAATTTAGTATGCCATTACGAAAGTAGTAATATTTTTTCATTTTTGTATTGATATTTTCATTTTTGAATTTCTATTTTATTCAGCTACCTTATTACGTGATTAAAAAAAGCTGTAAAATTTTAATAAAAACGATTGATATTTGAAAATATTTTTTAGTATTTTTAAATATATAATAATTATATTTTAATAAAATAATATTTTATACTTATAAGTTATTAATTTTTTTTAATTTATTATATATACAAATTATGACAGTTTGTATCGACAGTTTTATGAATTTTAAATTTAGTATTCTACAAATCCATCATCTATTCGTATTGGAATAAAATGATGAAAATTAAACTTCCATACGCTGATGCTGCGTTATATATTCATATATATACATATATACATATATATGTATATATCATATGAACATGATTAAATTTATAGATCTAAAGTCGAATACAAAAATTTTGTGCTTGAAGGATATTTTTCAACATTCCCTACATCTTTCCATATTAATATGTTGTGAATTTGCTTTCTTTTAGGATTTGTGGATAGCTTTGTAGCTTTTCCGAATGTTTTTTGTGAATCTTTCGATTTGTAATATAATTTTTCATGTCATCCAGTTAAATTATCCACAAAAAATACAAACAGATCAGGAACCTTATATTATAAGGAAGTAATTCAGCTCAATATGGTACATTTATAATTTTTTATCTTGAAAGTAAACGTAAAGTAAACGTTTTTCCTTTTTAGACTTTTAATTTTAAATACATATTTAATAAAAATGACAATCATTAAAATATAAACAATATTTTTACCTTACCTGACCTTAAATTTTAAATCGTGTTCAAATTTTTTTCTAATCTGGAATAATATCTAGTCGTATATATGAGTATTAAATTTTGTGTCCATTCTAACATTTGAATACATACTATTTATTAAGATCAAGTTAGAAAGGGATAAATATGGCGTTACAACATGTTTAAATTATAAAAAATAACAAATGAAAAATGAAAACACAAACATATTTCAAATAATTAAACGTAGCCCGAATAAATAATTTATTTGGATTTTTTTTTATAATATTTTTTTCCACCTTAGTATAAGTAATTATATTTGATTATATTTTATATTTTTATAATGTTCTAATTCTAATGTAGTTAACTATATTTTATATTTTTTTATTCTATAATATTTGTAGAAGCAATGTAATTGTGAATAATATAATTTTATAAAATAGAAATATAAAGTAATGAATATAACTACAAATTTGTTAATTATTACATTTAAATAAAAATTACATTTAAATAAAAAAATAAAATTATTATAACATTTAAATTAAACTAATATTATTATATTCTATATTACTTAAAATCACCCGAAAAATTGTAATTTTTATACAATTTTCAGGGATCGAATGGTTTAAGCAACAGCAATGATAGTTTAACGAAGCAACAACTCGAGCTTATCCAGCAAATAATGCAACAAACTCAACAGCAGCAGCAAATTGTACAATCACAAAGTCAACCACATCAACACCAGCAGCAGCACCAGCAAAGTACAAACGAAACCACCATTAGCGGTCAAGTGCAGAAAAATGGACTAAAGCCCTTGGTCAAATCAACGACAACGATTTTAGGTCCAATTGTAAATTCTGTTTCGGCAAACATCGCTGCTAATGCTAGATCGAGTCCTAAATCTAAGATCTGGAATCACGTACAGGTATGTCATTTGCCATTGTTTTTTATTTAACTAATTTAAGTGCATCCATACAGCTATATTTAGAAATTAATGGTTTATTAATAAGATGTCAGATTTGTATAGACATAAAAATTAGTTACCCTAACATCAGTCTAGAGTAATAGTATAATAAATATTGGACTAACATACTTATTTTTCTGTATAAATTTATAAAAAGAAGTTATTATGCTATCTATCAATATACTACATATTCCCTTACGAATATTTAAATTTATCAAACGAATTTCAATTCAATAAATTATATATGATTATTATAAATATTATAATATAATTATTAATATTATGATAATAAATTTAATATCAAATAATCTACTAGACTAGTTTAATTGTGTTAAATATAGACATCCACTTTAAACATAAATATATTTGAAGAACTAGCTGCAATTAGTTATAAAACATATAAAAGTAGAAAAGAATTACAATCTGGAAATAATGAACGGAACTCAATTTTCATTAATTTATTTGAATAGTTAAGTTATTTTCTAAATGCTTATAACACACACTTTCAAAGGAGGTCATACGTAAGAGTGGTTGTTGTTCCTACTGTTAATGCTGTTCTTTCAGTCTGATAACAAAATCTTACGAAGAGAAAACGGAGCATGAAGGACAGGTTATCGCAAATTTAGAAGAGGACTATCGTTGAAATGAATGTTACAGCTATGAAGAGAATTCTTACCCCTCCTGTACTTTCCATAGATCACTAAAAAGCAAAAGATTTGACAAGCTCACTCTCTCACCATTTCCATGATACCTGATTACTTTTTGCTGCTTTAACAACATATTATCAATAAATGTTTCCATACTTCCTTATATATTACTTATTTTCATTTAGAATAATCATTTTAACAAATTAATCTATTTGTTATAAAATGACAATGAAGTTTTTAATTACTATTGCTTGACAAATATTCAAATTTAATTATCGTTACAAATTAATTTAATTAAAATAATTAGAATGAAAAATAGTTTCCAAGCTTATTGTTATTCTTCTTCTTAACTTAAATAAATATATTTTTTAATTGTAATAATCTTCGGCAATCCAATATCTTTGATATAGGATCAGAGAAAAGAGAAATTTTTTATATATAATTTAAGAATTTAAATCAATCACATTATCAATTGTATTTATAGAGTTCATTTTATTTTAAAAAACATAAATTTTATTTATTGTATTTTAATATAATTATTTAGTGTAATTTATATGATTTTAGATTTATTTCTTCTAAGTGATCATTAAAAAAAATTTTTTTAGAACTGTTATAAAGAAATTGAGAATTGTTCTGCAAAAGCTTTGTTCGGGAGCTCTTGAAAATTATATTTATTTACTAAATTATGAACTTAAAAAATAAACAGAATGGATTTTACTAATCAATAAAGTTTCTATTATGAAATTAATTATATAAAATAAAATAAATAATTCAAATTAAATACAATTTTATTATATCTAAGAAATAATAGAGAAAATAATAAAAGAATTATCATGATCGAACAACTGTTGAAGCCCAATCAAAATACTAATATTTTATTTATATCAACGTTGCTCCTTCAAAGAGACTATGAAATTCTGAAAATCTCAACACTATTTAAAACCCAAATTCATTATGTAGGTATATTATTATTATATATACATGTTGTACGATTACTATAGGAATCGTCTGATTCACTAACAACACACATTTTGCTTATTCATATGTTTATTTTATTCCAACAGAACTATTATATTTCAATTTCCAACATTTTCACATTTACATTTTTCTTTACTTTACATCCTTATATTATTCTTGCACTGTTTATATATTTGTATAATGAATCTCTTCTTATTGAATTCGAAAAATATATACTCGAAATAAAAAAAAGGATAGAAATACGGTTTTAGCATAAAACAGATTAGAAATATATTAAAATTTTTTTATACAAAATAAAATATTTCAATTGTTTATTTTCATCAAAATTTATTGAATAGTTTATATCTAAAAATCAGTGAATTTATAATATAACTAATCCGGTTACATTAAGAATTGGTAATTTAAATTAACTTGAATTTAATAACATAGCTACAATTAATATTTATTGGCATAATCCAAATAAACTGATAATTTACTCGTTTAATTATAATAAAATGTACATTAAATGATATATCTCATAAAACTCATATATTAAATTTTCTTAAATATAATTCTTATTAATGCCACGGATAATTATATTTATTTTGATATCTACAATACCACAAGTAAATAATGGGATAAAAATAAACGATTGCATATTCATCTAAAAATATTCATCTATCTAAATATTGAAAATAAATGGATAACAATGAAGTAAAATATAAATAGGCAATATATAATTTGGGATATACCGCTCAAACAAGGTTCACAAGTGTTTTTGATCTACTTTATTTTAGGAAAGGATATACTACATCTTAACTTTTATTGCCATTCGTTATTTTTATCGAATAGATACGCATTTTTTTCGAGTCCATCCATATATTTTATTTTCATTTTATTACTTTTGCACACTCTCGCTTTTTTTAGTTTCTTCCTCTCGTTCTTCTCTGATTCTCACTATTTTATACCTAACTTCATTACGTTAATGGTAGAGTAACTACTGCGGGTGGTAGAGAGCTTATGCGTCGAAACGACGATGTTTCTTAAACAGAGAGCGGGTGAGTAATATATATAATTGTTTCCGGACAAGATGAAAATGTAGAAAGAGAAAAGGCAGTGGATCGATCGATCCACTGCCATTAATATGTATGAGATCTTCTAGTAGTACTACTGGTGCAGCACTAGCTCCCTCGAGGAACTCGACATGGATCGCATCTCTTCTCGTCCACAAAATACTCCAGAGAATCATTGCACAATTGTTCAAATACTCCTGCACTTATACTCCAGATTTTGTATGACGATCATTATTTTCATTTCCTTTTTTTTTCTCTCGTGTTCAGCACGTGCTATTTTATACACACTTCAAGCATATTCTTTTTATACAAGTCTTGTGCATATTATTAGAAAATATTGAAATTTTTTTCTGTTAAGCCTTGGAGTTCGTTTCAAGTTTTAATACATCTTCTTCAAATTAATATAATGAGATCCACTTACTGAACCATAAAATTATTTTTGAGAAAAGAAGCCGCAGACTTTACTCAAAGCAAAGCAATATGCTGAACGATTATGTAGTTCTTTTATTTGTTTTATAATGAAGGACGATAAACAAAAGGGATCATTTTTTATTTTTATATTTGACTGTATCAATAAGATGTATATTAATTTATTTATTTTCAGATTAACAAAAAATTTATTATTATGACTTAATTGGATTTAATAGGAATAGATTAAATAACTTATTGTATTTGCTAGCAAATACATTTAAATATAATATTAATTATTAATTATATATATAATTATATAATATCAATTATAATATAATATTTAATAAATAAATTTATTTAAAGTTTATGATAATGTGATGGCTTCTGACAATTATCAAATACCACTTACTAAGTAATATATAATATTTATAAGAATTAATCTTATTTGATAAAATAAGTTATGTAAGTATGTATAACAACTGTATATATATATAATAATAATAAATGTAAGATTATACTTACATTGTATTATAATTATTTTTAAATTTCATTATAACGTTTTGTAAATATCTGTCTGTATATATGAAAAGTAGATATTATATATTTATATTGCAACGTCCATAATTTTTTAAAAATTTATTAAACATTAAAAAATAATATATTTTCCCATTTTCCACAATATAATTTGAATATAATATAATATTTAATAATTGAATATAATATAATTTTAAGTTACTTTGATCTTGTTGGTTGAGCCAATATTAATATTATTTCAGAATTTTATCATTTATACATAGAAGTAGATCAGTTATAGCTTCATAATGTAACAAACAGACATATTTAGAAATATATAAATCTATTTAATTTGCTAATGTATAGATTATATTCTCTAATTTATATGCACACTTGTGGAAAGTGATGAATTATAAAATATTAAGCATTTATAATTATGAACTCTATATATGTTGTCTTGTATCTAGCTATATTATCTACAATATTTTATATATTAATGATTATAATTCTCACAATAATATAGTAAAAAGATATTATATATATATATATATATATATATATATATATATATATATATAATTCTTCCATGGTAATCCATATCTATAGATTGGATTACAAGCAATTAAATTATAATTATATTGATTCATTTTTATATTTATTTCAGTTCAAATATTTTTCCATATAACAAGTTTCCAATACATTAAAAATGAATATAAACAAAATAATATTAAATATATTTTATAATCAATGATTTGTTTTGAACTTTAAAATTATATAAAATTTAATTCCTTGATTCGGTGTTGTTACAAAATTAATTTAATGTTAATTAAAAATTAATAAAAAACAAAAAAAAATGGAATTTATTTTACTTAAATAATTAATTAAAGTCACAATTTATATCTCAATACTTTACATTAATTTGTTCATAGTACTTATATCTATGAACAATTACTGTATGAGCTACAACAATGTTAAATTAAAATTCTTGATAAGTATAAAAATTTTAATATTAAAAACCATTATTTAATATACAAGGTATAATTTAAATTTACATACTAATCCAAGGACGAAATGCAGTGAGGCTGATGCAGACTCCTTTACGAGAAACCAAAAATATATATTTGAAAGAAAAAAAACAATATATAACAAAGCTAGTTTTGTAGTGTATTTGCTCACTTATAGCTAGTAGAATAGGAACAGCACACATCTTTATGTAGAATAAAAGTGACGATGATAGCCGGCATCGAAAAAAAATAAGGAATTTCTCGAGTATACACTAGTCTGCGAATATAGTTAAAGGCATGATAGCAGAGTGAGCCGTACCTGGCAAGAAAATAATAATTATGATCAACCATTACGCTGCCATTTAACCACCCAGTCGTTTACCATCCTGAGTTTATGTTGCTTTGCGTGGTACACAAACACTCTAGACGTACCAAATTTGATACCTTTTCTAGTACAGAGACATATACTACTACCTACGATCTGTGCTCCCTGTTT